CGAGGCCGAGAGAGAAAGCCGAGAGACAGCCGAGAGACAGCCGAGAGGGAGCCGAGAGAGCCGAGAGACAGCCGAGAGAGAGCCGAGAGAGAGCCGAGAGGCAAAGCCGAGAGACAGCCGAGAGAAAGCCGGGACGGAGCCAAGACGGAGTCGAGAGAGAGCCGGGAGGGAGCCGAGATCGCCGATGAGACTTCGTGCCCGAGGCTGCGGCGGCGGCGTGCCCCCCTCCCCAGGCGCTGCTGCGCAAGTTCGGGCTCGACCTAACCCTAACCCTAACCCTAATCCTGGGCCTAACCCAGGCGCTGCTGCGCAAGTACGGGCTCGACTACTTCGTCCCGCTCTGCCGCGCCGTGCACCGAGGCCGCACACTCCCCGCACACTCCCCACACACTCCCCCGCGCACTCCCCACTCACTCCCCCGCACACTCCCCACACACTCCTCACACACTCCCCACACGCCACTCGACACACTCCCCATAGGCGGATACCCTCCCCAGACACATCCCAGACCCTCCCCAGACACATCCCAGACACATCCTAGACACATCCCAGACCCTCCCCAGACACATCCAAGACACGCATCCAAGACTCGCTCCCATACCCTCCCCCAGACCCGCACCCGCACCCGCCCCGCCAGCCCCTCTCGGCCGCGGCGCAGGCGACCTCAACGCGTTCGAGGAGCAGCTCGCGACGCACCAGCAGCGCTTCATCCGGCACGGCTCATACCTGCAGGAGGAGGTGTCTCGGAAGTGTCTCGGAGGTGTCTCGGAAGTGTCTAGGCACGGCTCGTACCTGCTCGTCGAGCGCTCCAAGCTGATCGTGTACCGCAACTTCTTCCGCCGCGTCGCGCTGCTCCACCCCGACAAGTCGACCAAGCTCGACATCAAGCGCTTCCAGGCTTGCCTCAAGGCGACCAACACCGAGATGGAGGTCGACGAGATCGAGTGCATCCTCGCCAACCTCATCTACTGCGGCTACATCAAGGGCTACATCTCGCACGCGCACGGCAAGCTCGTCGTCTCCAAGGGGGCGCCCTTCCCGCCGCTGCGTGAGCTGGGGCTCACCTCCGCCGTGTAAACGGCCCGCACACGCGAAACCGCCGGTTGTGGCTTGTGCGCGGGCCATTCCGCAGTGCATGCCGCGTCTATCGTGTATCGCGGCGGCGCCAGGGCGGCGCACAATTACCGGTCGTTTTGGTTCCGTTAGGTGTAATGCATGAGTAATTTCTCGATCTCTCATGATCTGCTGCACATGCGACATGTTCATGCACATTCATGCATGTGCATGTGCACGAAAACATGACATGCTCGGCCCACGCTACGGCATCATGTGTGTGCCATGGGCACTTTACTTGGTCTTGCTACACATGCTAGCCTGGTAGCCTTTTATACCTGACTCGACACTCGAGTAAGAAGCGCTAGAGGGCCACCGATGCCGATCGGCACGGTTAGTGCAGCCTGAGGGAGGGTGTAGAGGATGTAGAGTGTAGAGCACTGTAGAGCTGTAGAGATGTAGAGCGCTGTAGAGCTGTAGAGCTCTACATCCGCCGCGTGACGAGGCGCCTGCGTTGTAGAGCGATGTAGAGGCGCTCTACAACGTGAAATCTCTACAACAAACTCTACATCATAAGCGGCGAACGAGGCACGGTCGCTCTCCGACATGAGGCGCGTTGCACTTGCCAGTGCTGCCCTGGCCTTCTGTCTGCCCGCCCAATGGGTGGGAGGTGCCTCTGCTGCTGTGGCATGCCTCACGGCTACGACTGGCCGGCGCCTCGGCGCGTCAGCTCGGCTCGGCGTAGCGATCGTGGCCAGCGCAACTCGCCTGGACTCAACGCTCAGCCAGGAGCTCCCGCACGCGCTGGCGCGAGTCATGGCGCAGATAAGGCGTCTGAATGCTCGCCTCGCCTCGCGCAAATGCGACCGTCCTCGCAGCCGACAGTCCACCGCCTGCTAAAGAAGCACAGCGACGAATGCGGCACCGGCGACACATGGCAGGCTGGTCATGACGCAGTTATAGGGTGTTGTGTGCCGTCAGAGGGACTCTCTGTGTGTCAGGGATAGTCAGGGCTGTCCATCAGAGCTTCACTAAGCTCGGTAAAACCCCATTAGCGCGGCTCGACCTCTTTGAGTCACTGCCTTCCCGGCGGTTTGGCTGTAGAGCCTCTACAACAAACTCTACAACAAAATCGCGCTCTACATCGCTCTACAACGCAGGCGCCTCGTCACGCGGCGGATGTAGAGCTCTACAGCTCTACAGCGCTCCAGAGCGCTCTACATCTCTACAGCTCTACAGCGCTCTACACTCTACATCCTCTACACCCTCCCTCAGAGTGCAGCAAAAAAACAGGTTGGTATGTTGTTAGCAGATCAGGACACCGGAGCTCACACAGAATCACAGTTCTTAGCTCCCCGGCCCTGTGGGTGTGAGGCCCTGCGGGTTACCGACTGCCGACTCCAAGTCGCAAGTGCTCAAGTGCTCAAGCGGTGTTTCGGCTAGTTCCATTTCACTGTGGCACAGCTCGCGTTACAAAACCTTGATTTTGACCATTGCGCGAAAAAGGTACATCTCGGTGCCTTCCAGAGGCAGCTGCGACCCCGCCGAGTAGACGGCGTCACACAGCAGGTGGCGCGGTGTGACGCCGTCCACTCGGCTGGGTCGCAGCTGCCTCTGCGCGTCCTGGGGATGTACCTTTGTCGCGCGCCGGAGACGACTCGACGCCGCTGAGATCGGAGATCAAGCTCTGACAGGTCGCACGTCGCTCCTTTGACGCCGACGTGACTCACCCGTGCAGATCACATCAGGACACGGTCTCGACGCGCTCGGTACGACGCCTGCGACCCGTCTCGGGTCAGGTGGCACGACGCTCATCGCGCCTACCAGCGCAGCCGTGCAAGTTGACACGACGAGGTCGAGCACGCATCTATACGCTCGCCGAGCCTTCCTTTCCATCCCATTTGGCAGCCTGGGAACGGTGGCGGTCAGAGGCAAAGCATACGAGGGGTGGTGGAACCACATGTCACGGCTACTGCCGGCTCGACCCCACGATAGCCTCCGGAGGCTGACTTTGAGGCACAATCATCGGACGACGTCGGCGAGTTGAGTCGCGCTCGCGGTAGCCAGATGACCTCTCATACTAGTATCATCGGCCATGGCCGCAGGAAGCGCGGGGGAGGGCGCTGGGAGCAACACGGAGCTCCGTTGGACGTTTTCAAGATTAGCGTGTCAGAGTGAAATGGAACTAGCCATGTTGCATGTGCATGTCATGTGTTCATGTTCATGTTCATGTTCATGTGCATGTGTGCATGTGCACATGGGTCGCACAGTGTGGTTGACTCCCATGCCCCGTCCCCCGACGCAGCCCCGACGACCTTCACAGAGCTTCACGGGTTAGGTTGGTACGGCTTTAGAAAGGTAAAGAACAGGAAGCTAACTCGCTGCATATAGTAGCGAGATGAGCTCACTAGCTAGAGAGCTCACACTAGAGGCCGTCATCGCATTCGCCCTGGGACCCAGCGCTGACTTGCGGTTCTGACTGTCGATGCTGTCTATCCCTTTCTCGACTGTCTGAGCGCTTGTGCGTCTTGGGGCCGGGGTTGTGTTTTTGTGTGAAGAACAGCCCCAGGCTCGGACTGGACAGAGGACACCAACGCGTTATGGGTGGACGCGAGACAGATGATGACGGCACGCACGAGCGACACACAGACACAAACAAGCTCACAAGACACACAGCCAGCTGGCTGCCACACACCCTGAGTTGGCGTCCACATAACTCAAGGCCACATCCTCCCTCTCGCCCCCCCCAGCACCCACGGTGCCAAGAGTACAAACAAGGGCACAACGACACAACAGACGACAGGAAGTAACATGCGAGGCTAGAGCAGGCTTGCTCCGCCTCTAGCAATCTCGCCGCCACCCGCAAGGCACGGACGAGACCGTGTGCGTGGGGTCAACATGTGAGGTGTCTATGGACGCTCTCTTCACGGGCTAGCGGCCTGTACTGCTAGCCCTAACTCGCACTCACGGGCAGTGACAATTCATTGTGTGAGTGTTTGCGAGCAGAGGCGCGTGGGCTAAATCTAGGCCGCACGTCGTGGCACTATGACGGAGTTAGACGTGCGGCCGCAGCGCGCCCGCCGCAGGCTCGGCGGTGCGCGCGTGTTAGCGAGAAAGTTGCGGGTAGAGCCATGCCCGACACTTTTCGAAGACGAGCCCCGCGCCATACACGGCGGCATTGTTCACGGCAGCAGCGCCGGCGGCGGCCCCGCGCAGCGGTGGCGGCGCCCTGTGTGAGGCAGACTGTGGTTCACCCTCGAACCCGTGTTATCTTTACGACCCTGCGAACGCGCACCCCCGAAGGGTCAGGGCTCTCTAGCCCGCAGCCCGATGCCGATCATCCGGCCCGCTGGGTGGGTGGTGGGTGTGAGGTCAACTGTGCTGTTGCCTGTGCACTCCAAAGTGCTCCAAGGTTTGCCCCTAACCCCCCGCCGGACGCCTGCGTGTCGCGAGTGCGAGCCGCGCTCGCATTCGTACGCCCGCTCGTGTGGGTTCCGGAGAGTGGGGCGGGCCAACCGTACCCATCCCTCCGGCTCCGGCTCCGCTTGCGGGGGATCGGGATGGCTTATACGTTATAGCGGGGGTTCGAGCCGCAAGCGCAACAACACACATCTCGGCTCCGGGGTATGCCGAGGGGGGGGGGGGGCGAGGCTGCGTGGCCGTGTGGGACGTGGGGGGGGCGGTAGCCGTCGTGGGGGCTCTGATATAGGGGCCGAGAGGCGCCCTTAGGGGGCGGTGCGTAAATAACAAAGAAGCGGTCGTCGCCCGGCGCGCTACTCGCTTCTCGCAGCGCTCAGGGTGGGTTTTTGGCGACGCTTCTCTACCTTCTTGGGAAACAAGCCCCCCCCCCCCCCCCGCGCTCGCCCCGCCCCGCAAGGCGCGACACACACACACGGGGTTTTATGGCGGCTTGTGGCATGCCTTTCAATCTCGGCGGTGGGTTCGCCCTAAGGAGTTCCTCCAAGCGCCCCCGTGAAGGCCAGCCGCCTGCCCGCTTCAAAGGTGTAGGTGTGGAGCGGCTCCGGCCGGTAGCGCAACTGGCCGAACGCGGACCACACTCGCCTCGCCAGCGGCGGGGGAGCGTGCTTGAGCGGATGGCTCCACGCCAGCCGCGTGTCGTTGCCCATGAGGGGCGCGTTGCGCATGGCCGAGTTCGGGTAGCTCATCCGCTTCCACGTCGCGTCCGCCAGCCGCAGGCGCGGCACACACCTGCCGAGATATACCCGAGATATACCCGAGACACACCCGAGACACACCCGAGATACGACCGAGAGCAAGCACGGCACACACCGCGCGAGAGGGAGGCCCTGGTTCCCGTCCATCGAGGAGAAGTCCTCGCGCAGCGTCTCGCCTGCTCACAGGTGGAGGTGTGAGGAGTTCACAAATCCGCCGCGAGCAGTCCTGGCGCGGCGTCTCACCCGCCACCGACAGGGAGGCAAAGTAGCGGCCGGACGTGGAGCACTCGGCGACTGCCCTTGCGAGCGGCGCCGACCGCACCTAAGGGAAGGGAAGGGAAGGGAAGGTTCTCCACACACACGAGGGGCAAGGGCCAGGCAACTCGCAACTCCACGTCCAGATAGAGAGGAGCGCCACGGTGTTAACAGTGCAAGGCCCGGTGCGCGTGGGTGGGCGGTGACTGTGTGGTGTGTGTGTGTGTGTGTGCGTGCGTGTGTGCGTGTGCGTGCGTGTGTGTGTGTGTGTGTGTGCGTGCGTGCGTGCGTGCGTGCGTGTGTGTGTGTGTGTGTGTGTGTGTGTGCGTGTGTGTGTGTGTGTGTGCGCGCGCGTGTGTGTGGCTCGCACCTCGACCGGCCCGATGGCGAACGGCACGACCAGCGCCTCTGCGCAAGGCTGGGGCGGGCAGCTGCGTCTTCTCGCAGCGGCGGGCGGCTTCGGCCGACAGCCGGGGGGAGAGCACCTACACCACGAGCACACAAGTGGCCAGGGGCGGGATGAAGCAGAGTCGTGCTCCGAGCTTCGATCGACCAACACCGCGCAATCCAGCGCAAGAACATTCGGCTCGAGTGCTGTTTGGTTCTACAGAGCACCGGCCCGACATGCACGCGCTGCTGTTGGTGTGGACGCGCTGCAGCGGCCCGGCGAAGCAGGCGCCCAGGCAGCAGCCGGTTGGAGCAGAGTCGCAGGCGGGCGCCTGAGGGAGGTGAGAGGCGAGGTCGGGAAATGCGGGGGTCGAGTGGTGCTGTGTGTGCTGTGGCTGTGCTGTTGTGTGTACGCGGCCGCCTCCGAGTCACAGAGCCCGATCCATGCCATGATTCCGTAGTACCAAGGCTGTGTCGCGTCGAGCGCCGCCAGGTCGCGAGCCAGCGCAGACACCCGCACCAGCGCATCGTCCTCCGACTTGCCGATCCAGTGCGCCGACGGCCAGCGGGCCAAGGCATGCCGGTACCAAGCATCCACTTTCGCCGCCCGATGCCACGTCTGGCAGTCGCTCGCGTTGACAAAGACGAAGTCGCGGTGCGCGATGTGCTCGGCGGCGGTGGGGCGGCGGGCGCAATCCACATCGCCCAAGACGAAGACCGTGCGGACGCCATGGGCATGAGGACGGTGCGAGAGCGCTCTGAGGTTGTCGCGGTTGCGCGTGGCGCCGGGCGCCGTCATCACGCCCAGCACGAGGGAGAGGCGGTGGCCCGTCGCTGATGCCCCGAGCGCCGGCGCCGGCATTTCACGTGCTCGTGCAAGATAGCTGCTGCCCCGCAGGATGCAGGCCACGTCCGCTCGTGATTTGCAGACCCGACCCGTGCGCAAAATAGCAGGCAGCGTTGCAACGACTCGCGCCGCCCTACTTACCCCAGACCTACCGGCCGCGTCAGCGAAGAGAATAAAAAAAGACTTCGCCCTGATTCAGACGCCGTGGCTACGACTCCGAGGCGCCGGAGGAGATCCAGAACGAGGCGCTCTACCGGGCCTGCCGCGCGTACGGCTTAGGTGAGCAATTCCTCGCTGCGGCGCAGGACGAGGGCACATTCGGCGAGTGGCTCGACGAGCTACCCTTCGAGGTGGCTGCGGCGACCGCCCGGCTGCTCAAGCACCACGCGCGCTCCGGCGCGTGGGTCGAGCTCTCGCCCGGCAACCCTAGCCAGGCCTCACGCGCTGGCCGCGACCGCGACCGCTCGAGCCCGAACTGCCCGTCAGATATGTCGGAATTGTCGGAGAATAGCGACTAGCACACCTCTGAGTCCCAGAAACCCGAGGAGTCACACAGTCCACCTGTGTGATGCACGCCCTGCGAGCGGGGCGGGGTGCGCACTGTCCCTCTCTGTGTTCGTGTGCGTCGCCCATCTCTCCCTGGAGATGACTGCTCTATTTATTTATTTATTGACGCGACAGAGGAGGAAGTGACAAGGGAGAGAACGACGAGAGTGGGACGGCCGCGAGGTGGCATGAAGGTTGCAGCGAGAAGCGGCGAGAGACTGCGAAGAGAGATAGGAAGAGGCAGACTCCCTAGGGTGGGCGACGGCTAGCGCATCACACTCCTCTCCTTAAAATCCCTGTGTGGTGGCGGCGTGCCGTTCTCCCATCCCTCCCTTGGGTTGTCTGTTTTCTTTCTTTCTGGCTGGGTATGGCGATCCGCCTCCACTCTTTGCTGCTCGCTCGCCCGGGCGGAGGGCATGGCCGCGGAGGAGGCGGGCGTGTGCTTGCCAGGCCTTCCGCAGACAGCCTCTCGGGCAGACTGAGGGTCGGCTTTGCGTGGCGTGGCCCGTGCGCTGCGCTGCGCAAAGCTGCGTGTGCTGAGAGAGCATCTGGTGCTTCCTTTGGGAGGTGCGCACCTCCTGCAGCTGGTGGAGGGCCGTGCTGCCGCGCGCCTGCTCCGTGGACAGGGCGGGGAGACGACGCCGCAGCGCCACAGCCTCCGCTGCAAGCCGGTGCAGCACTCTGCTGCCTGGCGAGCAGCCTTCTGGATCTGTGCGCGACGTTTTCGAGGCTGCAGTGGCGCTGCACCGCAAGCCACGGCGAGTGGCACGTGGCATGCCGCGGCGCCGCGCTTGGCCCGGACAGCGCCAGAGAAGGCGCTCGATGAGCCAGCCGGCGCGGCGCGAGCGCCGCACGCCGCACCCCCCTCCGCCGCCCCCTCTTCCGCCTCCCCCCTCCCCGGCGCCCCCCTCTCCCCCGCCACTCTCCTCCCCGCCGCCCTCCTTTCCGCCGCCCCCCCCCTTGCCACCCCCCCCGCCGACGGCCCCCTTTCCGCCGCCCTCCCCCCCGCCGCCCTCCTCCCTGCCGCCCTCGTCCCCGCCGCCCCCTTCCTCTTGGCCATCGCCTCCGCCGCCTTCGTCTCCCACTCCGCCACCCCCCCTCCGCCACCCCCCCCTCCGCCACCCTCCCCTTCGCCGTCCCCCTCCCCGCCGTCCTCCCCCCCGCTGCACTCCTCTCCCTCGCCGCCTCCTCCCTTACCGCCTCCTCCCTCGCCGCCGCCTCCTTCGCCTCCTCCTCCCTCGCCGCCTCATCCCTCGCCGCCTCCTCCTTCGCCGCCTGCTCCCTCGCCGCCTCCTCCCTCGCCGCCTCCTCCCTCGCCTCCTCCTCCCCCGCCGCCGCCTCCTTCGCCGCCTCCTCCCTCGCCGCCTCCTCCCTCGCCGCCCTTCTTTCTTCATACATACATAAGCAGTCTCGGACGCAAGTATCAGCACAAGAATCAGAACGTGGCGCGTCGAGCCCTCACCACCAGAGCGTGGTGGGGGGGCGCGGGAGAGAGTGTGTGTGTCCCTCGAGACCTTCTAAAGGCATATCAGAGACCCTCACTTAGCCACCTCACAGGGTACCCTGAGGCTGTGGCCTCTGCACAAGATTTCGCACCATATGGTTGCATGGACGTCAACTCAGGGTGTGTGGCAGCCAGCTGGCTGTGACCTGTGTGTCTTGTGAGCTTGTTTGTGTCTGTGTCGCTCGTGCGTGTCGTCATCATGTCATCTGTCCAGCGTCCACCCATACCGCGTTGGTGTCCAGTCCGAGCCTGGCTGTTCTTTTTTCACCTTCCTACATACATACCCCCTCGTGCGCATTGGCCTTTGTGGTGCTTATCCGACGTCTCGGAGTTAGTAGCAGACTGGCCGCAGGAAATTGCATACGGTCTGTAGGCTCCTCGGAGGCGGAGAGAGATTTTTAGAAGCCAACAAGAAATGTGTGACACACAGTGATTTGGGCTCGGCAGCTTGTCGACTACTGGAGCCGGAGCACGGATGAAGAATTTTTTCGGGCCTTTTGACCTGAAGATTCTTCACCACCCGCATTTTCTCCCACAGGAGTTTTCCTAGCTGTGGGCTCGTCAGTTCTGTCTACGGTGAAAGGGGGCGCAACGGCGGCGCACGGGGATTTTCTTCATTTTTTGTGTCTCTCTCTCAGCTTCTCGTGAGCTCGCGCTCCTGCCATGCATTACACTGGCCCTCCCCGCTTCTCGACCAGCGCCGTCCGCCAAACGCCACACACGCACACGCACTCGGGCCGCCACTCCGCGTGCTGGCTGCTGGGACGTGCGGAACCACGTTCCGCAGCGCGCGCGCTGCCAAAAAATAGCGCAGCCGGCACCGTCATTCTCCGTTTGTTCTGCAGTCTCAGCCTCGGCCTCCCACTCCCGCGCAGACCACAATGCTCTACCGCCTCACGATCGCCGCGCTCGTCGCCTCCGCCGGCGCGTTCAACGCGCCGATGACGCAGGTTGACGCCTCCCTGCGCCGCTCCCAGACTCTCTTGTGTGCGGATGCGCTGTGGGTGCCTGCCACTGCCGCCCTGTGGCAGCCTTGGCAACGCCCGCGCAGTCCTTCCCTGCAGCCCTTCCTTTCTTTCCTCCGCCACGCTCCGCGCCAACGCACCCGCCGCTGTGCCCTCACTGCCGGCCGCTCCCCCCGCGCAGACCCGCAGCAGCCACCTGGCTCGGCCAACGGCCGCGCGCACGGGCATGGTTGTGATGGATGAGGTTGAGGATAAGGTGAAGGGTATCATCGCGGAGCAGGCTAGCGACCACCCTCGCTCGCGACAGAACCGCAGCGTCTCGCCCTGCAGCCGCCTCACCACGCCGCCCGTCTCTGGCTGCCTGCGCCCTGCATCCCCGCCAACCTCGCCCCCCGCGGCCTCGACGCCCTCACCGCCCTCCCGTCCCCTCGCTGCAGCTCGGCGTCGAAGCCGGGAGCGTCACCCCCACGTCCAGCTTCACCGAGGACCTCGGCGCGGACAGCCTCGACGCAGTCGAGCTCATCATGGCGATCGAGGAGGCGTTCGACATTGAGATCCCCGACGAGGAGGCGGAGTCGATGACGACGCCGGCCGAGTGCGTCGCCGCCATCAAGACCAAGCTTGGCTGAGCGCGCGCCGCGCCGCTCGCGTCGCCGCGTCGTCGGCCGCGCCCCCGCAGCTGCGCGTGCGCGGCCGCCGGGGAAGCGAACCACCTTCACGTGTGGCCTGTTATGGAGGGAGCTGGGGAGGCGGGTAGTAAGGGCTCCGTCACATAGAGAGGCGGATGGCTCGAAAACGTCTAGACATGTGCTCATGTGATCATGATGTCGCGGTGTGTTTTTCTTTTCAGCCCACATTTCGGCCGGTTGGCTTCAGGCAATGCCAGTTGGCGCACGGGTAGGTATTATGTACCTCGCGCCCTCCCCCGCCTCCGGCTCGGCGGCGCGTTGCGCGCGTTGGGACCCCAACGTGGCCGACGCGGTCGGCGTCTCGCACGACGACGGCTCCTTCGTCTACTCGCAGCCGGGCAGCCGCCCTCTCCGGCTGCAGCTCCACACTGAGGCGACAAAGGGAGCCGCCGCCGCAGCGGGTCCGCCACGTCGGCCCTCGCTGGTGCCGGTCGATGCGGCGTGGTCGCACTGGGCCTTCCTCCCCGGCGCCGCCGGCGGCGTCCTCATCGTCCTGCGCCACACGGTGCCGTCGCCCCGCCTCAGGACCTCTCCTCGGCCGGCTGCACTCACCCCGGCCGGCGCCCGCCCCGCCAGGAGCGCGTGCTGGCCGGCACGCTGCTGGTGCACCGGCTGCCGTGCGCGGCGAGCGAACCCGTCGCCGACGCCGCCGCCGCGTGCGTCGCCCGCCCCTCTGCCGTGCAGCGCCTCGAGTCGCTCGACGCGCCTGCGCCCATCTCTGCGCTGTGCGTGTCTCGGTGCGGCTCGTTCGGCGCGTTCGGCGCGGTCGACGGGACCGTCTGCTTCTGGCGGATCGGCGGCGGCGGCGGCGGCGGACCCGCAGCGCTGCACCACAGCGCCTGCTTCCACGACGGCTCGCATGCGGCGCCGGTGACGGCGCTCGCGCTCCTTGCGGCCGAGGCATGCGGCGCGCAGACGTCTCTGTGCGCGTCGGCGGCCGCGGACCAGAGCGTCGTCCTCGTCGACATGCTCTCGCGGACGCGCCTCGCCGCCCTCCTCTCCCCCGCCGCGGCCCCCGTCTGCGCGCTCTCCCTCTCCCTCGTCCCTCCGCACGCGCCTGCTGCTCCGCCTGAGGCGCCGCGAGGGGCGGAGAGGGAGAGAGGGGCCGAGAGGGAGAGAGAGGGGGAGAGGGGCGGAGATGTGGGCGAGATGGGCCGAGATGGGCCGAGATGGGCCGAGATGGGCCGAGATTGGTCGAGATGATGAGCCCCGCGGTGGCAGAGGTGTGTCGCCTTGGAAGCGACGACCCCCGCCTCCCTCCCGCCCCCTCTTGCTCTCTCCGGCTCACAGGCGCCGCACGAGCCGAGCGTGCTTCTCTGTCTCGGCGCCTCTGACGGCGCCGTCGAGGCGCGACACCTCTCCGCCCTCCCCCCCCTCTCCCCTCTCCCCTCTCCCCGCCTCGCACCCACCCCGGACCTCCCGCAGGCCTGGCCCCTCTGCCAAGTAATTAGTCAACGGATTCACTCCTCCGGCCCTCCTCCCCGCAGGCCTGGTCCCTCTGCGCCGGGCGCGAGGCGAGGCTGGCCAGCGAGCTGCTGCCTCACCAACTCCTCACAGACCGCTCACCCACGGGCTCTGGAGTCAGGCGGGGATGCGCGCGAGCTGGAGGCACTCGCAGCGGTCGCCCCTGCTCGCCCTCGCCCTGTCCGCCGACGGAAGCAGACTCGTCGCCGTGGCCGAGTCCGAGGCGGCGGGCGGCGGAGGGGGCGGGGGCAGGGAAGGAGGGGGGGGTGGAGGAGGAGGGGCGGGGCGCGGGGAGGTCGAGTCGCACTGCACGCGGAGCTGGCGGCTGCTCAGCACACGGACGGTGCGGCACTGCGCGGCCGAGGCGCTCGTCTCTGCGGACCTGGCGGCAGAGGGCGGCGGGGGGGAGGAGGGGGCGGTCGCGGCGGTGCTGCTGCGCCCTAGCGGCACCCTCCACCGCTTGCTCCTCTCGCCGCCGGCGCCGGAAGGCGGAGAGGCGGCGGAACTGGACGCGAGCGAGGCCGCTGCCGGCGGCGGCGAGGGGCGGCGGGCGCACGCGCCAGCAGGAGGCTTGCCTGAGAGGCGCGGGCTGTGGCGGGCGGCACCGGCGGAAGTGGCGGAGGCGGAGGAGGCGGGGAGTGAGGCGGAGGAGGAGGCGAGGAGCGCGTCGGCGGGCTTGCTGCAGTCTGCACCGACGCCGGCAAAGGGGTTTGGGGCTACCCCGGCGGGGGGGTGGACGTGTCGCGGACGTGTCGCGGACGTGTCTTCCTCGGACCCGGGCGAGGAGGGGGAGGGCGGCGAGGAGGAGGGCGGCGAGGAGGAGGGCGAGGAGGAGGGCGAGGAGGAGGAAGGCACCAGCTGGCTCGCCCTCCCCTCCGGTGCAGACGCCTCCGAGGCGAAGGGCGAGGCGAAGGGCGAGGCGAAGGGGCGGGCCTTGGGCACGGGGCGGGCCTTGGGCACGGGCACCGCCGCCGCGCCCTCCCCGGCCCAGCTCGACGGCGGCCTCGGCGGCAGCAGCCCTGTGGCAGGCTGCGGCACCCCGTGGACGCCTGGCCGCCCCTCGGCCGGCAGCGGCAGCGCCTCCCATTGGGCCTCCAGTGGTGTGCCTTGGGGCCTCGGGGGCGACGGTACCCCGGGGCAGAGCGGCTACTCCTCCGACACCGCCTGGAGCGCGCCGCCCCGCAGCGCCGTCCCGTCTCCGAGTGCCATCTTCCGAGACTCTCTCTCGCTCGCCCAGCCGCACCAGCCTCTGCCGCGCCCTCTGCCGCAGACGCGCCACACCCAAGGCCACCGAGGCCAGCCCACTCGAGGCCAGCCGCAGCATGGGACGGCCCATGCGGCGAACCCGCCGCCCGCGCCCCGCCCGCCGCCACCGGCCGCCACCACCGGCGCGACCAGCCCAGGCCGCAACGCCGCTCCGCCCTCCCCCTGTGGAGCATCCGCGGATGCGCCTCTCGATGCGGTCCCCGGCATGCACGCGTGCCGAGAGGCGGCGCCCGAGGCGGGAACGGAGGCGGCGGCAGAGCCGCGCGCCAACGGGGCGGGCCAGGCGGCGGAGGTTCGTTTTGCGGCGCCGCTCGGGACGACGGCGCCGGTGACGGTCGCTCTTCCCCCACGGCCGGCGGAGCCTCCTCCAGCACCCCACCTCCGGCTCGGGAACCCGGAGCGCGTGCGGGCGCTGCTCGCCCCTCCGCCCGTCGGCGGTGCGCCGGCGTCGAGGCTCGCTGTTCTGGTCGAGTGTCCGCCCCTGCCCGAAGGGTGCCCTCACCCCTCCGCCTCTTGCGCGGTAGGCTCGCCGCCCCGTCGGTTCATTCCTCGGGGCTGCTGCGCGCGCGCGCCGTCGCGGCGGAGGCGGAGCAGGAGGCGCGCGGGCGGGACTTGTTCGCGCAAGAGGTGGAGCGGCGGGCGCTCCGAGAGGCACGCCGCCGCCCTCGAACCGATGCGGGACGGCGTCTCTTCACGGCTCGTGCCGTGAGCAGGCGAGTCGGGCCCTCGAGGCGCCGCTGCACGAGGCCACACGGCGCGCGCCATCTTCCGCAGCCCAGACGCGTGTAGTCGAAGAGCTGTAGAAGGCACACACGCGTGCAGGCCAGCCGAGGCTCAGCTGCGGTGCGACGCCGTTTGGGTACGGGCCGCTGCCGAGCCTTCTAGGAACCCTCTAGGAACCCTCTAGGAACCCTCGAGGAACCCTCTAGGAACCCTCTAGGAACCCTCTAGGAACCCTCTAGGAACCCTCTAGGAACCCTCTAAGAACCCTCTAGGTACGGGCCGCTGCCGAGCCTGCAAGAGCCGGGCAGCGGTAAGGCGCGGCCGAGGGCGCGCCGCGCCGACAACCCGCGCTGGCTCGCGGCAGCACGGGCGAGTGCCATGCCGAGATCAGCCGAGATCAGCCGAGATCAGCCCCCAGATCAGCCGAGCGAGACCGTGTCCTCCGAGACTCCTCACGGGCAATGCAGCCGCCGCTCCCTACAGCCACCGTGCCTGAGGCCGGGACTCGATCTGCGGGGTAGGAGCTGCAGCCCGACTTGCGCGACCTCTTCACAGCAGACCGCGAGCCGGAGGCCACCGACACGGAGAGCCACGGGATCCCGACGCCCGGCGTGCTGCGGAGCCTGCGCCCGCGCCCAGACGTCGCCGTTTCTCCCGCGATCTGGCCGAGCGCGCTGTGGAATCGGCCGAGGCAGCGCTCAGAGGTGACGTTTGACTAAGCGAGGGCGAATCGATTCCGTCTATTGCTACAACACATTCTCGTTTACCTGGATTAGCCCCAAGACGCGATGCGAGTATTTGACACCTCCTCTCTCGGATACACGAGGCATCGTATAGAATATATTATTTGACATGTCTTTATGAACAAAGAGAGAGCGCCGGCGGGCCGCCGGGCGCCCCGGCGACCATGATTGTGCCGGCGACCCAGAGCCACAGCCAGACGCTCCAGAGCGCAGTGGCCAGTGCGCAGAGCCAGAGGGATGAGCGCGGCCGCGGGGCGACACGCAAGTCGCAACGACTCGCAAACGGATCCACACGGAGTGTGTTGGGGACACTCGAGTCGTCGCCGTCTCCGAGACGCGAGCGGAGCCACACAGGGACCGTTCAAGACGCACTGCACTGCGCAGCCGTCTGAACTAGCACTGCTCCGCCGAAATGCATGAGGCACCGTTGTGCCAAATCGGCGCGCCAGCCGGGCACTCGCAGCGAGCCACGCACAGCATCACGCACGGCATGATCGGCGGTGACTCGCAAGTGCGCGTGCACTTCGAGCCGCACTCCTTCCAAACCCGGCCACCAGTGCACTTCTCCGGTGCCACCTCGAGGTCCTGGCCCCGCGCCATCCACCCATCTCCCTCGGTGGCGATGATGGAGCGTGAGTCGGTGGATGGATCATCCGAGCGCGGCAGCCGCCAGCCGTTGGTCTGCTCGGTGAGGCTCGCGGCGGAGGCGGAGGCGGCCCAGCTCGCACCAGCGACGGCCGCCTCTCCAGTCTGTAGCAAAGAGGGGCGGGGGTTGAGAATGGGAGTGAGGGCGGGCTCGATGTGCGCGAGGGCAAGGCTACCTGCTGGGCCAGCATGAGCCCCGAGTCGACCGCGAGCTCGACCTTGGGAATAGTGCCGTTGGCGGGGAAGCGGTCCGCGATATCCTCTGGCTGGTCAATCTTCGCGCCAGCAATCGCCTCGTGGCCGCTCAAAGTCTGAGACCTCACAAAAGTGATGCACACGTACTGGGGGTTAAATTCTGATCTCTTCAATATCAAGGTCTGTGAAAGCTGAAAGGGAGATACGTACGTCGTGTTAGCTGTCGCAGAAGATCTCGAGGCGCGATCCGGTGGACAGAGGACACTGTGGCCGTCGAGCGCCGTCCTGGCAATCCTCGCGCGCACCGCGCTCGTTTCACGTGTTTGACGTTTCGCGGCTTCCTCCTCTCCGCATCGCCTTGTCGTCTCAAGCATGGCACAAAGATCAAAGACCAAAATCAAGGTTTTGGAACACGCGAGCTGTGCCAAGTGAACTGGAACTAGCCCAGACGCGTAGCGTACAATGTCCGATGTGTATATACGTATTTCACACATTCCAGACGTCTCGTCTCGTCGCACGTCGGGACACAAAGACAAGCAGCGACGGCGCTCACTTCTCGCGCACTTTGTGGATCAGGCCGATCCGCTGCGCGGCGCACATGGCGGCGAATGCCAGGTCGAGCCCCTCTGGCGGCGCGTGCCTCGCGGCCCCGCTCCTGCGGTGGTGGTTGTCGTGGTACGAGTCGCCGCAGGAGGCGAGCGAGAGGAGGCTGATGTTGCGGCTGCCGCAAGTGGACTCGACCGCGCTCGCGTGGTGGCAGAGGCTGTTGACTGCGAAGGTGGCGTGCCACGCCGTCGCGCGGCCGAGCGTGCGGCCGTGCTTGAGCAGCATGGCGGCGGTGGCCCACCGGTAGCTCCGCCCCTCGACCGCCCCAAGCAGCGCCGTCCAGCCGCCTTCGATGAGGCCGAGCACGTCCATGAAGCACAGGTCCACAAACAGCAGCTCGGGCGCCGCGCGGAGCCAGTCGGACACGTACTCGGGCCGCGTCGCAAAGTTGCGCCGCTGCGTCATCCACAGCAGGTGCGCGTGCAGCCATCCGTCCGCCACCGGCGAGTGCGGGTCGCGGTCCGCGTCAGAACGCCTCTTGTCGGGGTGCGAGGCGTCGGTCGGCGCGTCGCACTCGTCGCAGAAGCGGTGGTGCCTGACCATCACAACTTGTGTACTCACCATTCATGGTCGAGAAGCGGCGCCGCCTGACCATGCCTTCCGCCGCCAGCCGAAGGTGGGAAGGGTGTCCCGGGCACGAGTGCGCTGCCCGCCTCGGGCGACCTCTCGCTCAATCGAGGCTCCTCTCGGGCAGCGCTCAATCTCGGCTCAATCTCGGCTCAACGCGGCGAGCCTTCGGTGAGTCGACGCCCACCACAGCGGCCCGCGCTGCGAGGCGCCGCACGCGCAGACGCCGAGGGCGAGCGAGACGAGCCGAGGCGCGTCGAAGGAGCGGTGGGAGAAGTAGCGGTGCAGCAGCGCGGAGATGGCGAGCTGGTGGCCTGCGGGCGGTGCGGCGGAGGGGGGGGGAGGGGGAACAGGTGGAGAGGGTGAGCGGTGTGGCGGGGGGGGCAGAGGCGCGGGCGAGAGGGCGCTGCTCGCCGAGGTGAAAGAGCAGCCACGCGCAGAGCAGCGTCGCGGCGCGAAAAGGGTCGAGCAGCGACGGGCCGCGGCCGATCGCGGCGAGCGCCTCGCACGGCGCGAAGAGGGCGAACTGCACCACGCCGGAGAGCGGTCCGTAGGCGTACGTGTAGGAGGTCGCGCACGAGAGGGAGAGGAGGAGCCGCTCGTACAGCTGCCGGCCAGACGTGATGGTCGGGTCGGCTGCGACGGCCCACGGTCGCGCCAGGTCGGCCGCGACCGCGCGGGCCTCGCGAATAGCGCCGCCGACTCCGCCGCCCAACGCGGCCAGCCCCAGTTCGGCGAGCCCCGATGCAAGCGCCAGTGGCGTCTGCCACGAGCGGCTCAGGACGAGGGTGCGGTAGTACCACCAGAGCGTCACGGCGAGGGCGACGGACCGGGCGATCATTTCAGGTTTTGCTGACGGGGCTCGCGTCAATCCCCGAACGCAACGAACTCGTGAGCAGGGCGTGGCGCCAAGCCGCCCAGCGAGAGCCCGATCCTTTTCTTTTTTTTGAGAGCGCCTTCGTTGTTAATAGTACAAACCCAATGGTCCTCTGCGAGCGGTCCTTCGTTGCAGACGCACACACGCACACGCCACGCCGCACCGCGCGCCCGCCCACCGCCCCGCCCAGGCGGGAAAGAGGTGGGGAGATGGGACAGCGAAGGAGGAGCACGAGCACGTATGGGAGGGTTCAGTAATGCGCCACGCTGCCCGGCGTCTCTCACTTTCCGGGACAGCCCCGCCCTTGTGAGGCAGGAAAGTGACGGCTACCCCGTACGCGCCTGTCGCTCTACTCGTCGCCGACCGCCCATCCCCCCCTCCTCGTTCCCCCCTCGAATGCTCTGGACCCCGACAAGCCGCCCGACGTTGGGCCTCTGCCCCGCACGCCCCCGCCCCTCGCTCACACCCCGGCCCGACACGCACTCTGCCCCGCACGCCCCCGCCCCTTCTGCCCCTCGCCCACACCCCGGCCCGACACGCACATACAAGACAAACCCGGCGTCCTGCTCTCAAAAGAAAAAGAAAAAAGGGAATGAGGAGACCAGCGGGGGAGACTCCCCGCCTATGCAAGCCCCAGAGAGGGGCCGCCATCGCCGAAGCTGTGCCAAAGCATAACTCCAAAACCCGCGGCGGCCCAGGGGGCCTTGGGGGCAGCCTGCCGGACCGCCGCTGCACGGGGCTAGGCACCAGAAGACGAGTGGAATTGATGGATTGGGCTGTTGTCCGTGCCTCCCCTCTATACGTCAGAGTGGGACCTACGCCGCGCCGGGTAAGGGGCGCGCCCGGTCCTAGACGGAGCCGCGCGCCCCAAACGACCCAGGCGGTGAGTAGTCGTCCTCGAACCTTCGACTTGTAGTCGCCCGTGGTTAGCGCCCCTCCTCCCTCGCCCGTCCCTACTCGTACTGCTCTCGAGGCGCTCGCGGCATCTCGCCGCCCATCTTTGGCCACGCGTTGTAGTCGAAGATGGCGGCGTTGCGCCTCGCGACGATGGCCGAGTGCACTTGCAGGAAGCGCTTGCGCTCGCTACTGACCCGCCATCGTTCGCTGTCGGAGGACGCCTTAGCGGCCTTGATGTCGAAGTTGGTGTTGAACCACGTCGCCGCCTCGTGCCCGATGCCGCCGCGCGTGCTCGCCGCCCACGTCATAAAGTCGCAGTTTTTGGCGTCGCACGCCGCTGCCTTGGCCTTCCGCTTCGTCTCCTCCCCCTCGCCGGGCTCGCGTTCGCAACGAGGGGGGTTCTCACGCCTGACTCCACGTCGTCGGTGCCCTCTCCGTGCGGGGCTGGCGGCGACGGCGGTGGCGGAGGCGGCGGCGGCGGCAAGGACAACGCCCACCCTCGCTCGGGCATCTCCTGCCTGGGCGGTGGCGGCAGCGGCATCCACGTCCGCGGTGGCGGCGGTGGCTCCCACCCCGGGGGCGGCGCGAAGGCTGGCATCGGTGGCGGCAACGGTCGGGGCGGCGACGGCAGTTGCACCGACGGCTGCGCTGGGGGCGGCGGCGGCGGGAGCGCGTTTAGGAACGCGCCAGCAACGGCCGTGGTGGGCGGCGGCGGCGGTCGCGCCGTTGGCTGTGCCGGGGGTGGCGGTGGCGTGAGCGCGCTGAGGAACGCGCCAGCTTCCGCAGTGGCGGTGCGCCGCCTGCGTCGGGGTGCGTGTTGCAAGCGCCCGCCGGCCTCGTCGTACGTCACGTCGCTGTCGTCGCTGCTCTCGCCGGAGCTCGCGGGGGGGGGCAGAGGGGAGGAGGGCGGCGGGGGGGAGGACGAAGTGGGAGGGGGAGGCGGGGGGGAGGAGGGAGGAGGAAGGGGGGGCGGTAGAGAGGTGGGCAGTGGCGAAGGCCGCGGCGGGGGCGGGTGCGGCGGAGGGGGGGGGGGCGGGGTGGGGGGGAGGGGGAAGGGAGGGGTGGGAAGAGGTCTAAAGGAGGAAGGGGGACACAACCCGTTCGGGAATCGTGTGTCCCCCGAGTAGTTAGGCCTGTGTCCTACCCAAAGCATGAAAGAGTTTGGGACAGCTGTGCACGGCGGCTGATGGCAAGCGCCGCCTTTGACCACGCAGAGCCGCCGCCTTTGACAACGAAGCCCGCCAATGCAGTCGCTCGTCGTCGAGTTCTCGCGGCGCGTGCGCGAGCCAGCACAAAATATGAGGGCGAGTGCAGGGGCCAGCCGCGCCACGCGCGGCCACGTGCACCTCCCAAGCCAACCGCCGCCCCCGCAGCATGACGGTGAGGCGAGTCTCGCAAACGACGCCGAGGGGGCAAAGGTAGCTCTCGCCGGGTGTGCCTCAGCGGCCGCGGGCGAGCAGGGCATGTGCGCGCCACGCGCCGCCGCTCGAGCCGGATCGTACGAGTCTCCCTCCCGCGGCTCGTTGCAGGAGAGCGGGTCGATCCGATGATGCTCGGTGAAGATGCTCGGTTGGCTCTCGCCAAATGTTTGTCCGACTCGACGTACGGCCCCGGGCGTCGGGCCGTGGCGGCGACGGCAGGCGTGCTCCAGCGCCGCCTCGTGCGCACGCACGCGCAGCGGCGGCGCCTCTGCACCACCCGAGTCGCCGCCCGGCCGAGCGAGGAGCAGAGAGACGACGAGTGACATGCTGATTCGGCAATCAAGAATTTCTTTTTTGTTTCTTCCCGCTTGCCCGCCGGTGTCGCCCCTGCTCGAACTGGGAGTCTCTCTCACCTTCTCAGTGTCAGTCAAATAAATTTTATGACCCCCGCCCAAATGAACAAAACAAATTGGTATTGCTAAAAATCTCTCTCCCAAATGAACACACCATGGGACTCTCTCTCAACATCACATCTCTCATCTCTCTCTCTCTCACACACAATAACATTGCAATGTACGTTGTAGCCTGGCGTTTGTGCCCCGTTTGTGCCGCGTCCTGCCCCCGGGTTCCTTTTAATAATTGCTAGGAATTCCACACCTCGCAGCATGGTGGCGGGGCGAAGAAATTTTTCGCTATTTGCGGCCAGCACGAAAAAAGACGAGGGGACCGGCGTGCGGGCGTGTGGGAGGGTGGAAGCGTGGAGGGGTCGACCGCAGTGGATTCGGCGCACTTGGGTCAGTAGGGGGTATGACCGGAAAATTTGCGCGAATTTCCTCAAAGCTTCCAAAATCCTTTTCTTGCTTTTTTCGTTTTTTTTACCTTTCGCTGACGGATCCGCTGACCCGTTGCACGGCAGGTTCTGCCGTCTGCGCTACACCACCTGTCCACGAGACACATCATCATGCGCGCGACCGATTGCGGAGCTTCGTAGGCCGTACGAGTTGCTGTGGCCTCTAGCCGTGAGAGTGTGCCTCACACGCACCTGTGCCCAACCCAGCTCGTCCGCTCACGTGAGCGAGAGGACTTGGCAGTGTCCAGTGACGGCGAGCCGCACGGCAGACGACCTGGCGCGCGCGCTGTTGGGTGGAACTCTAGCGGGCCGCACCCTCTCACACAGACAGTCAGACTCCGACAGACCAGAGACAGGCAGGCAGGCAGGAAAGGGAAAGAGGGAGGGAGGGAGGCTGCCCCCGCTGAGCCCCACAGTCCGCACCGCACACGCACGAGTACAAAAACGGGTGGGGCACTTATAGGCCTCCGCGTTCAAAAATTAGGTTTTCTGTGGGCTTGTGTGGTGCTCTGCTAGAGAGGTCGAATGAAACGACTGGTGCGTCGTCTCGGCAGTGAGCGGCATTCGCCTGCACAGTGGTCGTTGGGGGGGGGGGGGGGGAGTCTCAGCAGAGAGCAGCAGGGCAGGCATTGGTAGGGAGCTGTGGACAGACCAAAGAGGACAGAGCCGAGTAATGTCACGTCGACATGCGGCCGCACAGAGGAGCGAGACGCGAGACACCGACAGCCGGAGCCGAGCCGCAGCTGAGCCGCGAGCGAGTTTGCGTGCACCAGGTGCACATGATCACCGCGGGCGGCTGCCGAACTCAGGTAGCGTCAACACTCCTAGGGAGTGGACACACCGAGACGGCGGCACACCCGCACTTCCACATCCATCTGCCAGTAAACGGTCGCTCCACGTACGCCGGCACGCATCGCACGTTTATTCTTGGTCCGGGAAGGGGTTCACGGCCGGCAGCTACTGCCCAGACAAGGGAGTTCGCAGCGGGTCCATGTCCGCCCTTCCTGCCCTGACCGTGTTGACAGTGGCACTGCTCAGGTCAGCTTCTGAGTGGTCCAACTCGCTCCATCCTGATCTCAACGCTGTGATGAATCCACAAGCTGCCCCACACTGGGAGCTTGCCCGTCACGCAGCCATTGTGGCGCAGAGACGAGGTGTGCTCTACCAATTGGTTGTGGACGGATGGATGTTGCGCATATTCAGTACCAGCGGCGAGAGGCCGAAGCGAGACTGTCGCCGAAGTGCGACCGAGGGACGTTTCGCGGACGGTCCCGGGTCGAACTTCTTTTCTCTTCTTGATGTAGGTATATTCTTTATCGTTGACGGAACCGGAGTTCTGCTTCCTTGGGTGAAAGCAACTTGAGCACTTGAGCACTGGATAGGGTCGATTCCGCATGGTACGGGACCCCTCGATCGTCTCGCCCCCCCCCTAGGCGGCGGTACCACATGGCTCGTTCCGGCCGTGGGAAGCGTCGCCGCGAGGAGGACGAGGACGACGAGGACGAGCCGTCGCGCGCCCAGGCGCGCGCGGAGTCCGAGAGCGACGACGAAGCGGGCCGCGAATCGGACAGCGAGGGCGACGAGCGCAGCGACGACTCATCCGGCGAGGTGCGCCGCAGCGAGATCGCATGATGGCTGGCGCTGCCCCGCAAAAGTCGCCATCCCCGTTCGCGCCACGCGCGCCGCGGTTGACCAACGCCGCCCTGCTCCGCCTCCTGATGCCGTCATCCGCCTCCTCTTGGCCCGCCTCTTGACCCCGCCGTGCGGCCCCGCAGTCGGACGAGGAGGAGGAGGGCCTCTTTGTGGCGTGCCAGGAGGGGAGCCTCGACGACCTCAAGGCGATGGAGGAGGCCGGCGCGCTCGAGGTCAACCGGCGCGACCGCGAGGAGGGCGACACGCCCATCTCCGTCGCCTGCCGCTGGGGCCACCTGCCGGTTGCGGAGTGGCTGCACAGCCGCGGCGCAGCGCTCGACTCGCCAAACAGGGCGGGCGAGGCTCCGATCCACGAGGCGGCGATCCACGGCTCTCCCGAGCTGATCGCGTGGCTGCTGAGCGCGCTCGGGCCCGCCGCCGCCTCCGAGATCGAGCGGCGCGCGCGAGGGAGGGCGTGGGAGGCGCGAGGCTGCGGGGCATGTCTCGGACGCGTCTCGGACATGTCCCTAGGTGCGCCGAGGGAGGGTTGACGCCGCTCGGCTTCGCGTGCCTGCGAGGCAACACCGAGGCGGCCAAGGCGCCGCCCGACGCGGCTCGGGACGTGTCCAACCGTCGTGCGCATGACACGTCCACGACACGTCCGCCCAGGCGCTGCTCGAGGCCGGCGCGTCGGCCGCGGCGGTGGACGAGAGGGGGCACACGCTGCTGCACCTTCTAGGAACCTTCTAGGAACCTTCTAGGAACCTTCTAGGTGGACGAGAGGGGGCACACGCTGCTGCACCTTGCCGCCTCGAACGGGCGGAACGAGACCGCCGCCGTCGCGCTCGAGGCGATGGAGGCGGTGCAGGCCAGGGAGGCGGGCGGCGGCGGCGGCGGAGGAGGCGGCGGCGAAGGAGGCGGCGGTGGCGAAGAAGGCGGCGGCGGCGGTGGCGGCGACGACGAGGCGGAGGCGGAGAGGTTGGTCGATGTGCGTGACGGGCTCGGCCGGACGCCGCTCATGCTGGCGGCCGGTGAGGGGAGGCTCGAGGCGGTGGAGTGGCTGGTCGGGAGGGGCGCCTCCGTCGACTCGGCGGACGGCGGCGGAGTGCGGCCGCTCCACTACGCGTCTGCGTACGGCGACGCTCCCTAGACGCTTGCGAGCCACTCCCAAGACACCTCGTCGACACTTCCTAGACTCTTCCTAGACACCTCCTAGACACTTCCTACCTCCTCGACACTCCCAAGACACCTCGTCGACACTCTGCCGAAATTCGTCGACGCTGCCTCCACACCTCCCCGAGCGCAGCACACCTCGAGCACACCTCGAGCACACCTCGAGCTCTGAGGTCGGGTCTGGGCACAGGCGACGCGGCGACGGCGCTGTGGCTGATCGAGCACGGCGCTGCGGTGGGCGAGGCGAGCGACGCAGGCACTTTGCCGCTGCACCGCGCGAGAAGCTCCGACCCGCCCCCACAGTTCGAGCTCATTCGCACGATTGGACTCGCCAGGCAACTTGCCGCTGCACCACGCGGCGCAGGCGGGGGCCGTCGCGCTCGCGGAGCGGCTGCTGCGCGGCGACGGCGGCGCGGGCGGCGCTGGGGCACGGAACGGAGACGGAGACACGCCGATGCTGCTCGCCTGCTTTGGGGGGCACGTGATTAGCCGAGATAGGCCGAGGTAGGCCAAGATTGGAAGGGAGTGGACGAGATTGGCCGAGATTGGCCGAGATTGGACGAGATTGATTGGACGAGATTGGCCCGGATCAGCTCGCTTGCTTTGGCGGGCACGTGCGGCTGCGCGAGGCGATTCCGGTCCTCGCTTGCCCCGCCCCTGACATGCTGTCTGCACATGCTGTCTGCACATTCTTTCTGCAGGCACGTGGAGCTGTGCGAGCTGCTCGCCGCGCGGGGCGAGCCGGTCGATTCGGTGAACGGGGACGGCTGCTCCGGGCTCGTGCAGGCGTGCCACACACCCGCCCCCTCAACCTCACTCGCTCTCTCTCCCTACTCTGTCTCTCCCTACCCTCTCCCCCCGTCCAACATCCGACGCGCCCACCCACCGGCTCGCCTCGTGCAGGCGTGCGCGGCGGGCCACCTCCCGCTGGTGCAGTGGCTGCTCCCCCGCGCCCCAGGCTTGCTCGAGATGGCGGACGGGCGCGGAGCGACGCCTCTGGTGTACGCGTGCGAGCAAGGCCACGCGGAGATCGCCGAGTGGCTGCTCGAGCAAGGCGCGGCACCGGGCGACGAGGCGGCGCAGGCGGCGGCAGAGGCGGGCCTTGCCGACCTGGCAAAGAAGCTGAAGGCGGCGAAGGCGGCGGCCGCCGCGGCGGGGGGCGAGTAGGTGGTTGTGGGAGGGAGTTGGCTCGTGTTGCTGTCGTGTGCGTGTGGCAACTTGGGGTGACGTCGTAGCCCGCCTGGGTGGCTTGCCGCTTGTGTGTTGATTTGCGCCGCGAAGCCGAAAGGACGCGTCCGCGGCGAGTTCCGGTGGCGGTGTGGCCGAGGTGTGTGATAAAAGATTACACTCACACAGGTGCCAAAAAAAGTTGTGGGCTCCTCGTTGTGGGGCCTGGGGCCGCGAGGGCGGGAGGGGCCTGGGCGAATCCCCGGCGAACCCGCGCCCCTCGTCGCTGCTCGCACGTCGCCGCTCGCGCTGTCCCCGGCGAGCGGCGTCCGGGCAAGCTCCCCCGCTACACGGCTCTAGCAAACACAGCCAAGCTCCTTACTCTCGACGCCCATCTTCTCCTCGAGCCGCACCGGGAACGGAAAGAAGAGCAGTAGCTTCATCGCCCACGCCGGCGGCGCGGTCGTCAGCAAGGCACGCTCCTCGGCCTTGCACCTGCTGCCCTTGGGCCACCGGCCGAGCGCAACGCACGTCTCGCGGCCGTCGCGGCGGCGCGCGTACCGCACGCGCCGCCACCGCCCGTCGGGGGACTCGCGCCGCCGATACGTCAAGTCGAAGGCCTCGCCCGCCGCGCGCGCTTCGGCAAGCAGCCTTCGCAGCTCGACAAACGGCAGCAGGTACGCCTCGGCGCCGCCGCCGCGCGGCCGCTCCGAGGCGGGCGGCGACACGGCCTGTGGCCCGAGCACGCGCGCCATGTACGGGCCGAACTGCCGCGCGCTGTGCCCGCTCGCGAGCAAGTGGCGGCGCGCCGTCGGCGAGAGGAGGTGCGTCACCTCCGCCGGGTAGAGGCCTACAGGAAGTGTCTAGGAAGTGTCCTTCCTGTAGAGGAGGTGCGTCGCCTCCGCCGGGTATAGAGGCCGGCGATGGCGCGCGAGCTCGTGGCCTCGACCCACGCGGCGGCGCCGCCGTCGAGGGCGGGCAGAGCTCCGAAGAGGAGGCCGGTGGGGAGGAGGCGGTGGTTGGAGCCCGAGTAGACTCGCAGGTTGGCGAACATGGTGCTGGCCATCATGTCCTGAAGGCCCAGCACGGGGAGCAGCAGTGCGTAGCCCACCGCGACGCCCAGGGCGCAAAGCCGCACGCGGCGGACCGCGCGTGCCAAGGCCGGCGGCGGCGGTGGGGGCGGCGGAGGGGGCGATCTGATGCCTCCGGCGGCAGGGGCGGGGGGCGGCGTGAGGAGCGCCGCCGCCCACAGCAGCGCCAGGCCGAGGTTCATGCCGACGGCGAGGTCGGACGGCGCGCGGCAGAAGCCGCAGACGGCGAGTAGCGCGCTCGCCGCGAGCACGGCAGGGCGCGCTGCGGCGGCGGCGAGGCGGCGCGGCGCGAGGAAGAAGTAGTGGACGAGGATGGTGAGCGAGAATGCGCCGGCGTTGTTTGGCGCCGGCGTGAGCGATATGAGCAAGTGCAGCAGCACACCAAGGCCGAGGCCGAGGCGGCGGCACGCGGCGCCCGCGCCGCGCCCGTCGGCGGCGGCGGGCACGCAGAGCAGCGCGGGGATGGCGGCCTCGACGAGGATGGTGGCGGCGGGCGCGAGGGCGAGGGCGAGCGGCGGCAGCCACGGGGGCGTGAGAGCGGCGGGCACATAGGCATCAAGGAGCTGCGCGAAGAAGATGGGCGCGCACGAGACGGAGGCGTCGAGGAAGGCGGCGTTGACCTTCCACAGCGCGGTGCACGCATAGAAGACCACGTACTGCGCGCGCACGATGGGCGCGGCGAGGGCGACGGCACGATCGCCGTCGGCGGCGGCGGCGGGCCCGCAGAGCAGCAGCAGCGCGAGCAACGCGGCGTCGGTCTGCAAGTCCCAGAGGAGAAAGTCCCACACAAAGGGCATCTTGCGCAGGATGATGCCAAGGCTCAGCGCCAGGTTTAGCGCGAGCAGCCGCGCCGATGGCGCGCTGCGAGGCGCGGGGCGCGAGTGAGTGCGCACTGCGCTTGCGCGAGCCTTGGGCGGTGCCGAGAGATGCGCGCGCGAGTGCCGTCGGTGGTGCGTGGGCCGCGGGGGACACTTCCTAGACACTTCCTGGACACTTCCTGGACACTTCCTCGACACTTCCTGTAGGCACGCCGCGGTTCGTGGGCCGCGGGGGCGAGCGCACCAGAAGAGGAGGAGGAGGAACGGCGCGAGCAGCAGCGGCGGGGAGGCGGGCAGCTGCAGCACGGAGGCCGCCGGCTCGGCGAGCAACGCTTGCGCGTGCGAGAGCGCGCCGCACATGAGCAGCTGCTGCGCCGCGTACATCCGGCAGAAGAGGCGCAGCTGCGGCGGCGCGGCGGCGGGCGCGGCGGCCGCGGGCACGACGGGCGCGCGCGACGACATGCGCACGCGGTGGAAGAGGCGGGTGCCGCGCCCCTCGTACCGCGGCGACGGCGACGCCGAGTGCAGCATCTGCCGGTTGTCCCAGACCACGAGGTCGCCCACCCGCCAGCGGTGCGCGTACAAGTTGGCCGTCTCAGGGATGGGCGTCGCGCCGTCGTGCGGCACCGCCCACTCACGCGCGCCGTCCGCGCCGCCCGCCGCCGCCGCGCAATTGTCCGCCAGCGCGTTCGGCGGCGGCGGCGGCGGCGGCAAGCGCAGCGCGGCGCGCAGCATCTCGTCGAGTAGCGCCTGTCCGAGATCAGCCGAGATCAGCCGAGATCAGCCGAGCATCTCGTCGAGTAGCGCTACCTGTCCCTCCTCAGTGCCGAGGGGCGTGCCGTCCTCCTCGAGCAGGCAGCGCGTGAAGGCGGGCGCCACGGCGTACAGCGTCTCTCTCCCGCGCATGTCTTTCGCCACCACCGGGAAACGGTTGGTCTCGGGGAAGGCCTCCTCCGGCGGCGTGCCTACAGGAAGTGTCTAGGAAGTGGCTAGGAAGTGTCTCTCGGGGAAGGCCTCCTCCGGCGGCGTGCCTACAGGAAGTGTCTAGGAAGTGGCTAGGAAGTGTCTCTCGGGGAAGGCCTCCTCCGGCGGCGTGCCGTCTGGAGCACACTCATGAGGCGTCGCGCGCGTGCCGCCGGGGACCATCTCGCGGAAGCGGCCGTCGAAGACTGCGGTGAGGCCTACGCAAGCAGCCTCGGACATGTCGGGCACGTGTCCTCGACGCGCCCGTCGCAGACGCCGGCGAGGCCTCGTGCGCGACGACGGAGCGCCTACAGGACGGCTTGAGGGGAAGGTGTCGGGCTCCTCCTCGGTGCTTTCCAGAGAGGAGGCCCTCCAGAGCGCCTCGGGCAGGAGTTCGAGGCCGACGCGCGCCGAGGCGAACAGCGTCTCTCCGCCCTGCTTCGGCGTCGCCAGGCAGTACATGGCCGTGACGACGGGAGGCTGCGTGGAGCGCGGCGTGTCGTGCACGCCGTCGGTGTGCCACTCAGCAAAGGACTGCGAGGCGCACAGCGTGCCGTCGGGCACGCCGTGGTGGTCGCGCACCGGGCCCGCTCCCTGGCACTGCACCATCGGCAGCGCCGGCAGCTTCCACCTGTCAACAGGCATGCTGCCGCCTGCAGGGATGCCCGTGACGCCGGTGCTCTGCGCCGTATCAAACGGGCCGGCGCACTCGGACAGCATGGGCACTGAGTCGTCCCACGGAAAGAGCTTGGCGAACTCGGCCTCCTGCGCGGGCGTGAGCTGTTGCTTTGCGAACAGGAGCAGGCCATGCTCGTTGAGCGCTTCGCGACACTGCTGCTGCAGCGCCGGCGAGGCGAGGACTTCCGAGATCGAAGCGTTTGCGACCTCGCGGCCGACGGCGGTGCGCAGAGGATGAAGCTTGAGCGCAGGCGTCATACGTGTAGAAAACGCGCTGCGATCCTGTCGGCTGTGGTGTCGGTGGTGCCAACTGCTGGCGGTACAGACCACGCCTCACTTTTTCACAGGGGGCATGCTTGCTGCGCATGCTCGAGCCCCCGGCGAGGGCTTGTGCTGTGAATGCAGGCGTGGTCTGTACTCGCCAGTCAACCGTATCGAGCAAAAAAAGAATTTTCAGCGCGGCTCGGACTCGTTGCGCTACGGTCGCACCAACGCGGCCAAAGGAATCCACGAGAACCTCGAGAACCTCGAGAGGACAGGGTTGCGACCGTGTGTGAGGGATTGAGTCTGTCTGGTACACCTTGGGAGCCACACGTGGACCGCAAATGACGCGCGACGCGGCCGACCCCGACGCGCGGCACGCTCGCGGCATGCACGCGGAGGGCGACGACTGGTCCAAGCTCCCAAACTCGCAGCGCAAGGATCGGCCGCTCTCGTCGGCGCAGCTCAAGGAGCTGGCAGCAAAGTCGAACGGGAAGGGATTTGTGGCGCTCGCGGGAAACTGCTCCCTTATCCTCGCCACCGGCGGCGCCATCATGCTCACCGACGGCGTGCTTGTGCCGGCGCTGTGGCGGCAGGCGTGGCCGCCGCTCCTGCTGCTGCTGCTGCTGCTCTGGCAAGGCTTCCTGCTGTCCGCGCTCGGCTTCGCCGCGCAGCACGAGTGCCTTCACTACACCGCCTTCCGCACAAAGTCGCTCAACAGCCTCGTCGGCCGGCTTGTCTCGGTCCCGTCCTTTGCCTTTTTCCTGCACGAGCAGGCGATGCACAAGGAGCACCACACGTACACGCAGGACTTGGAGAGGGACCCGGAACTGGTCGCCGAGGTGGCGGGCTGCACCTACTCGGGCGCCGCCTCCGGGCTCCCCGACGGAGTCGACCTCGCCGCCGTGGCTGCCGCAGGGCGAGACGCTTCCTAGATGCGCCGCGGTTCTCACCACACCTCCCAGCCGCCTCCCAGACAGCGCCGCGGGGGGAGAGACGCCTCGAGCGCGCGCCGGGGGGGGGGGGGGGGGGGCGGCCGATGTCTGACGTCCACCGCACACCCCGCACCGCACCGGAGGGCGAAGGGGTTCGTCTCCGCGAGAGTGCTGTCTGCGACGGCTCTCGCAGGAGAAACGGCTTCAAGAAGGTTCCGCTCTCGCGCGCGCAGTACTTTGAGCGCTTCACCTGCCTGTCGGGCTACACCTCCTCCAAGCTGAAGAAGTTTTGGCACTGCGGCCGCGGCGTGCCGGTCTTAGCATGTCTCTCCCCCCGCCAACTCTTCAGTCTCAATCACGAGCCGACTACTAACCCTAACCCGAACCCTAACCCGAACCCTGACCCTGACCCTGACCCTAACCCTAACCCTAACCCGAACCCGAACCCTGACCCTGACCCTGACCCTAACCCTAACCCTGACCCTAACCCTGACCCTAACCCTAACCCTGACCCTGACCCTAACCCTAACCTGACCCTAACCCTGACGCCAGGTCGACTACTCGTCCGACGGCTGGCTGCTCAAGCACTGCCCGCCAGGCGCGACACTCGCGGCCTCTCCCCACATCTCCCCACATCTCCCCATATCTCCCCATATCTCCCCGTATCTCCCGCCAGGCGCGCGACTCACGGCTTCGCTGCAGTACGAGGCGCGCGTGCAGGCCGGAGGCACGCTGGCGCTGCTCCTGCTCTGGCTCGCCGCGCTCGGCTGGCGCTCGCTGCTGCTGACTTGGCTGCTCCCCGCCTACCTCGGCCCGCCGCTCCTCTACTTCGTCCAGATGCACGAGCATGCCGCTTGCGCGCTCGACCCGGACGGCCTCTCCAACACGCGCACGACGCTCACCTCGCCGCTGATCAACTTTGTGATGTGGAACATGAGCTACCACGCCGAGCACCACCTGTACACCATCCTCCCCTTCCACGCCCTCCCGCGCGCGCACGCCCTCCTCAAGCAGAACCTCGTCAACCTCTCTGAGGGCGGACACCTGTCGGTGCACAGGCAGGTGCTCGGCTCGTGGATCCTAGACACCTCCTAGACACCTCCTAGACACCTCCTAGACACCTCCTAGACACCTCCTAGACACTTCCTAGACATTTCTCCGCAGGTGCTCGGCTCGTGGATCCGCGAGCAGCACGACGCCATCGTCAAGGCGGCGAAGAGCGGCGCGGCGGGCAAGGAGAACGAGAAGAGCGACTAGCGCTTTTGCGGGCGTCCCCACGCAGTGCCCAGTGCGGTGTACCTTTCCCCCTTGTGTTCTTGTCATTGTGCACATGCACAGTGCTTACGTTTGGGCTACGGGGTGTAGTAGGGTAGTAGCATGTATCATGTATGTGTACCAAGGTATGTGTGTGTGCGACGTGGTATCTTAGGAGCGAGGTGGTCAGCTCTTGCCAGGTGTATCATTCTCATCTGTCATCGCAGCAAACTCGCCCAGTGGCCGCAAACGACACTTTCCACCCGGCGCTGGCACACACCCCAAAGCCCGCCGTGTACCGCGTACCGCACGGCTTTAAAGCCGAGATTCTCTCTGACACTCTGACTCTCCAGTGACTCTCTGTGACTGTGTGTTCTCTCTCTCGTCGTCACAGACACAGTCACACACACACACAATACACACACACACCAAATGTTCGTTTCGCACAAAATCCGAGAGTAATGACAAAACAGAGATCGAGAGACTCTCGCTCAGGACGGGGAGAGAGAGGGTGACACGCGCGCCGCAATATAGATCCGCACGTCGCACCGGTCGGGCAGGGGGCGCACAGGGCTCCGAGAAACATGTGAAAGCTGTGTGAAAGAGGACGGGGCGCGGGGGGCTCCCCCTGACAGCGTGGGGCGCAGCCGCACAGTGTACTCTCTCACACGTCTCACTCAAGTGTCAAGATAGACCATACATCGAGATCTCTGCGGGACACCAGTAGATTTGTTGAGTGGAGATCGTAGATGCCGATCAGAGATCTTCCACACACAGCATCTCTCACCAAACTCAGAGATCTTTAACTTAAGATAGAGATCTTGAGCTGCCGCCATCGGCACCTCGAGATCTCAGGCCGGAGACGGAGATGTTGACTTCGCGCCAAAGGCGCCTCGAGAATCGTGTGGCCGACTGGAGATTGCAAAATGGCGCGAAAAGAGGGTGGAGATCCGCTTGAAGGTGTGAAAGGAAAAGAGCATCCCCTTGGAAGGACATCGATCCCCCCCTGACACGCCTCCCCCACGAGATTGGAGATTGGAGATCGGAGATAAGATCGGAGAACGCGCCTCCTTGTTATGAGCGCGCCGCGATGGAGCTCACCTCGTTAGTCTCTGGCATGACCGAGTTCGCCGCGAACCTGTATCCTCTAAAGACCGAGGAGGAGCTCGTGGCGCTCCTGAGCGGCATGCACCACTTCCCACCTGGCGTGCCTGAGCGTGCCCGTCGCGTCCATGAGCGGCTGCCCGCCGGGTCGGCACTCTGCTCCTCTGACGTCGGCGTGCTGATTGACTGGCTCGACACGGAGGGAGGCCTTGACGGGTTGTACAAGCATCTCGCGCACACCAAGGAGGACCTCTACATTTCGTTCCGAGCACCAACACGGAGGCCGCGGAGCAGGCGTGTCGAGCCGCCCTCTCGCCCTGCACGCGTTGCCCCCTTGTCACATGTACAACATGCACTCAAATCCGCCTGATAGGCCTTCGTCTTTCTCGCTCGCTCGAAGCACATTTTCCGCCAAAAGGTCCTCCCCCCCCCCCTACCCCCCCCCCCCCCCTCTCCCTTACACAAAATTATTTGTTGATGGCAGCGCGACCGTTTCCGTTGGCGCTCTGTCTACTCATCGGCATCTGGCAATGTGCGTCACGCGGGCCACCTACAGCGCTCTGCTCAAGGCGCTACGCGCCCAGAGCCGCGCGCTCGATTTCTCAACAGATTGGCCCAAGCGTGCAGGACTACGAGGAATGGCAGCGGCTGGCAACCAGCTGGTGAAGGCAAACTCGCTCGTTGGTCAGGACGCGCCATCCTCCTTCACAGAGATCTGTCTCGAATGGGAGCAGCTGCTGCAGGCCCGACCAGTGTCCAGCCTGCTCCGACCGCTCTTCTTCGCGCAATCGGGCGACCAGGCACGGCTCCTGCTCGCGGGATACCCGGCCCTCTCCTCCGCCATCTTCCAGGCGGTTGGAGACCGCATCGATCAGGCCCTCGCAGCACTTCGCATTTCTTCCCTCTTCGACGCGGTGGTGGCACACACGGCGAGCGAGGCACCCGCACGCAAGCGGAGGCCGGAAGGGCTGCTCTTTGCCTGCGGCGATGTCTGCCTGCACCGCTTCTTCGGCCGGTGCGTGGTCGTCGGCTGGGATGAGACATGCCAGCGGGCCGGCGCGTGGGACCTCGGCCAGGGGCTGAGAGAGGTGCGGAGGTTTGGGCGTGCGCAGCCCTTCTACACGGTGCTCCTAGAGCGGGACCAGGTGGCGCGGTACTGTTCGCAGGAGAACCTCGCGCTGCTCACGGAAGCCAAGGTCTTTGCACACCCACAGGCCGCCTTCTACTTTGCCTCGGCGCGCGGGTTTGTGCCGAGCGAGGCGCTCACCTTTGTGTACCCGGATGACCGCGACCTGAGCGCGGCGCCAGAGCGGCGGGACTATAGGACCCTGCGCGAGGCCCTCGATGGGTAGAAGCCAGATCCGCGGGCGACCACCACGGACTTGAGTCTTCCTATAAGAATTCAACAACCAAAGACTCTCTAGCCCCTTCAGAATTTTACAACAAAACTCCGCACGACATTAAGAACTGAAGATAGTGGTCGAGTGGTTCTTTTGACCTTTTCGCACGGCCACGGGCGCGGCGGACGTGTTCTTTTACACATCTCCTGGTAGAGGTGGTTCGACCCCACGGCCCACGCGCCACGAGCCCCACGCAAAACCAGATGTATGTCCATGTGTGAGAGAGATTTTTTAGCAATACCAAACAACTCTAACACTCACACATCATTTGGGGCCTGGAGCCCTGTTCACGCGCGCGCAAGACGTGCAGACAGGGTTGCCTTTTGTTTTTCCATGTGTCGTACGTTCCCCCACAAAGCACCCTGATTTCTCTCGAGAATTTTACAACCGAACGCAGCCGCAGCAGGCTGTCGCGGCCTTGGCACATTGGCACACGCCTTCCCTCCTCTGTGATCATCGGTGGTCCTGCCCACTAAAAAAGAAAAGAAAGAAAACAGGCAACCTACAGGCAGTGCAACTCCGGCCGAAAAATTCTTTTTGGTTTCCGGCCATTGCGCTCGTCGTAAGGAGCACGCCGCGTCCCGTGCCCCCGAGTTCATTTTATTAAGGAGCACGCCATGACGATCGAGATGGCGGGCTACATCCGCAAGACGCACGCGGGCGGCGCGTACACGGAGGCTCGCTCGGTCAAGCGCTGGCTGCTCTCCGATGGCTTCCAGGTGCGCTACAGCAAGTCGCCCAGCGGCACGCAGACGGGAAAGTTTGATCTGCGAAACGTGGAGGAGCTGCGGATGGTGTCGCGGGGCGACGCGCCGGGCGTGCGCGTCAAGGTGCGCGACCGCGGCAACAAGCTCCTCGAGATCCACTTCCTCACCTCAGGGCCGCGCTGGATCGAGTACTGGGCCTCGGCCGTCGCAGAGTCGGCGCTCGATGACGAGCTCCGGCAGTGGCGCAGGGCGGAAATGACGGCGCAGCTGGACAGCACGTACGCGGACCAGGCGGGTCTGAAGGCCAAGGGCGCCGGCACCACCGACGACCTCCTCTTCTCGCCGCGCGAGCGGGCCGGAGCCGCCGAAGCCTCGCAGCCGCCGCCTCGCGCCGTGGCGCCGCTGAACCACTCGACGGCCGAGTCGACGGCTTCGACGGCGGAGGGGGTGCCGGCGGCGGCGGACGGGGACGACGACGACGACGTCTTCATCGTGACGGTGCCTCCCCTCTCGAAGCCCGGCGACAAGCTGCGAGCCACCGACCAGTACGGCTCGAGGATGATCCTTGTCGTGCCGCCCGGTGAGAAGGAGGAGGGAGGGGCGGGAGGGAGAGAGGGGGAGAGGCACCACGAGGGGAGGGTCGAGGAGGGCCCAAGAGACCGCCTCGAGACGCCGCCTCGAGACGTGCCGGCTCATCTCCCCCCTGACCCCTCCTCCCGCGCCCTCTCCAGGAGCCAGCCCGGGCACCACCCTCGAGTACGTCAAGCCCAAGGCAACCTCTGCGGGGGCGGCTACTCCTGCCTCCGCCCCCGCCGCCTCGTATGCCGCCGGCGCGCCGTCGCCAAGCAGCGGCGGTGGCGCGGCGGCGAGCGGCGGCCCGTCCTACCGAAACAGCTCCGCCCCGCTGCTTGGCGACGACGACGAGGAGGGGCCGGCGGGCTGGCTGGGGAGTGTTCTGGCAAAGTGCTTGCCGCGCTGCTTGCCGGCCGACGGGGGCAGGGCGCGAAAGTACGAGGATGCGATGGCGCGGGGAGAGTACCAGACCGCTGCCGGACTGGTGCGTTGCGGGCGGCGAGAGTGTGGCTGGGGGAGCGTTGCTTGAAGTGCCGGCCGACCTTGTGCGCAGGCGAGTTCGGAGGAGGAGTCGCGCAGGGTTGGGCAGGCGAAGGACCAGACCGCGGCCTTCGTCGCCGCGATCCGGAGCTACGACTGGGAGGCGGCCAAGCGGCTGGCCCGCTCACAGCAGGCCTGAGGAGGGCCTCGAGGGCCCGAGAGTGGTCAGCAGAGGAGTGATGGTCGGTCAGTGTGAATAGGAGAAGGAGGACCTCGAGGACTCGATCGTCCGTGTCAACTACCTCAACTTCTACATCGACAGACACGAGACGGGGGCGGCGCTCGAGCTCGCGATCACCGAGGCCGAGGTGGCGAGAATCCACGCCGCGGCGGCCGCCTCCTAGGCCGCCGCACACGCGCTCGGCGAATGCACCAGAGTCACCCACGTGGGCCGTGGCGGCACGATCGTGTCTTGTCGCCCTTCTCGTGCTCAGCTCCCGGGAGGCTCGCGGGTCGGCGGCAGCCACAGCGCGGGTTTCGGCGTTGTGTGGGCCCGTTTATATCACCGCTCTTTATACTCGTTTATTCCCCGACACAAAGAACCCGCTGCGCACAAACCACAATCCACAAAAGCGGATCGCACGGGCGCGGGGACCTGTGACCTGTGTTCCTTTTTACCCATCTCACAGTAGAGAGGTGTCCGTTCTTATTTATTGTTTTACCCATCTCACAGTAGAGAGGTGTCCGTTTTTATTTATTTACTAGTGGGGACCCGCGGCGGTACCCTCTCTGTTGTTCGGGCAGTGAGAGACGCAGGATCTGCACGCCAAAGTGGGCCACTCCGCATTTGCATTTTGGTTTTGGGTTGTCGGAGATCATCCATCAGCACTCATGTCTCATCAGTCAGTCACGTCAGTCAAAGCAGTCGTGGCACGTGGAGCAGTCGCTGCATGCAACGGCGCCGCCACACGCTCCGGACGACCCCGACAACCGACACACCACGCACAAGGGAGGCTATCGCGCACGATCGGGCATCGCGCCGCAAACAACTCGCCGCACAGATGGGGGGGGGGCAGAATCCCACACACACCGGAGCAGCACAGACACCTTACACGTCAGCGCTCGCTCGATGTGGCCGGCGCTCTCCCCTCGGTCCTATCTCGCCTTTTCAACGGCGGCGTGCGGCCACGCGCCGCGCCGAGCCGGTCTCGGCGGGAGACCTCGGAGCCGCACGCGATGCGGGCATGCGCGATGGCTCCGTTGGCTCCGTGCCTAAGGCAGATCGATTAGGGTGTGAGCTGCGGCAGCCACCGTTTCTGTACCCGCTCGATCACGTGCAGGCCGTCGGAGGCCGCGCTGGATGGCCCAGGGCCGGCGGCGGTGAAGGCGTCCGTCGATGAAGGGATGTCGTCGAGGGAGCCATCGTCCTCCGCGGCAGGTGCACCGGTCCAGTTGTCGGAGTTCGAGATCGCAGTCGACTTGGAGAGTGTGTTCGGCCCGTTGACGAACTCACGGAATGTGAGCGACTTGGTGCACGCTGGGTCGAGCATCATGACTCGCACCTCATCCTGGGCGAGGTCCTCGCCCAGGGACCAGCTGTTGGCGTCGCCGTTTTGATCGAGCTGCATCCACTGCATGGTTTCGTAGTCAAGCGTAAACGCCCAGGAGTTGGTGCCTGGGTGACTTGCTGATGAGAGCGCCTTCCAGGCGGGTAGTCGTGCCCCTCACCTACGGTCATACGGTGGCGTCAGAGGGGGGGAAGGGGCGCGAAGCGTGAACATGGAGGCAAGCAGGTGGTCGGGCTGCACCTGGCCAAAGCCGGCGACCTCGAAGTTGTCGTAGCTTGTGCGCATATCGCTGAGCGTGAGAGGGACCGGATCGGCAACAGCATGGGCGGCCGCGTCAGCGGCCGGAGAGGCCGGAGAGCCATCCGACGGAGGCCGGTCGTGCATCGGCGCGTCAGCCGCAGGGGCCGGGGGGGCGGCGGCATCCATCGCTGCGGGTCGCTGCGGGCCGACGATTGTGGAGGGATCGATCGTGGCGGGCGGATTTCGGCTGGGACGTTCTACGGTTAAACCAAGAGCGTCGGCGCCGACACGAGAGACTTATAAGGGTAGATTATTTATTGAATTTGCTCTCAGCTGCTGCTTTATTCGTTGCGTGTTGTGCCATGTGCCACGCGCGGCGAGCGAGAAAACATAATGCTTAATGGAACGTCGGTGGGTGCGCGCACTGTCCCTCTACCACGAGTCTCTAAAACGGCGAAACGGGGCCATGTCCGACTCCGAGGCTTCCATGCCGGGCCTGGAGCCGTTCCACGTGCGTCAGATCCGGATGGTCGAGCGCGTCCTCGGCCAGAAGGTGTCGCCACGCGACCACGCGATGATTGATTGTCTCGCGGAGCGCATGGAGAGGTACGGTTGGCACTCCGTCAGCATCAACCCGGTGCCGCTTGGGTATCAGTACATCATCCAGGCCAAGTCTGAGAAGAGGCGGGAGGATGAGGCCAGGCAGCAGGCCGCGCAGGACGCTGCGCAGCCTCAGCCTACCGCCACTTTCGCCGCACCGCCCGTGGCACCGCCTGCCGCCGCTGCCGCTCCGGCCGCAGCATCGCAGGCACACTCGCAGCACCAACAGGCGCAGCAACCCCGGCCCAACGAGTCGCCCGAGGGGTGGACGAGGGTCGGGAAGGGCGGCAAGCCGGACAGGTTCACCATGAAGAACTTCGGCCGCAACCCGCCAAAGTCGGGCAAGCGGAAGCAGGAACACCGCAAGCCCGCACCCATAAGCTACCGGAGGGGGGGTCAGCTGCCGCTGGCTCGGGACCGCTGAGCGACAGGGGGGTGTAGGTACCCCCCCCCACCTCCACCTGGTCAGACCGTCGACCTAGAGGGGGGTCCCCAGGTGCGTGGGGGGGGTGTTTGAAGATGACGCGCATATCACAGCAAACTGTCCCGTGAAGGTTCACGGGGCCTACAGCGGGGAGGAGTGGTTTGTGCCAGCGTCGTGCGAGGGAGTCGGCTCGCGGCTCCCGGCTCGCTGCTGGGCGACCGTACCGCTCGCTCCTGGCGACCGTACCGCTCCTGGCCCTCTCGGAGTATCTGCTGCCTCACCCTGAGGTTCTCCAGCGAGAGCGTGCGCCGGATGGGCAGGACTTCCGGCGGAGACCGCGCCGGGCGGCGCAACAACTTCGCTGCAAACATCGGCAGTCTCTGCGCCCGACGACGCTACAGGCAATTTCCCGCACATTAATCCGTCGCGCTTTCCCGTAGGCAAGCACCACGCGCACACCCAGCGCAAGTCGGTTCAGGAAATGCACGACCGTGCCATCGCGAAGCGGCAGCCGCTGCCGTGGCAGCAGATCGGACTCGTCTCGGTCAGCTTCGTGTCCTTCTGCACGCTCCTCTACCTCTACCTCAACTACCTGGCCGAGGATGACGACGACCTTGAGGAGTCAGAGTGAGTGGCAGCGTCTCGAAGAGTCAGGATCATGAGGAAAACTTCAAGATAGTGCGCGCCTGCCGGTGAGCTGGCTGTAAGACGACTGTCTCACACAGTAGGAGGTGGAGATATAGATCCGAGTTGAGAGGCGTTCCTGATACCGATTTTTCCACACCGACGAGGTGCACCAATGTCACTCTCCCCCCCCATCCGCAAGCGAACCGCCTGCGCCTCCCTCCTGGACCTGGTCCTGCTCCTCTCCGTCCCCAGCCGCGCTGGCAGCTGCCGCCGGCGCCGCCGCGGCCGCAAACTGAAACTCGGATCGCTGCCCCGGCGTATACTTCGCCACGATCTCCTGCTGCGCAGAGGCGTACGCCTCGCGCCACGCCGCCGCCGCCTCTTCCGAGAATTCGCCGCCCAGCACCTCGGATAGAGCCTCGAGAAGCACCTGTCACGTGCGGGGTCGTGAGAAGAGGCTGCTCGATGTCGGTGAGGAGAGAGAGAAGCCTCGAGGGACGCCTCGCCCGCCGCCTCGATCTGCGATAGCGGGAAGCCACGCGACGCCGCCATGCTCCCCAGCTCAGCCAGCGGCGCACACAGCTCCTCCGGCGCGGGCAACAGCGCGACAAGCGCACCAATCCGGCGGCGTGTCGCCTCGGCCAGGCTCGCTGCCTCCCCGTCGGCACCGCCAACGCCGCGCACCTCCGTGCCGGCCAACACCCTCTCGCACAGCATCGCCGCCACAGCAAGCTGCCCATCTGAGGCGACTCCGTCTGTCTCCTCGTCCCGCTGCTGCTCGCCGAGCGCCTCCCAAGTCGCTGCGATGGCCTTCCGCGCAGCGCTGGACAGGCTTGCCGTGGGGCCGGCCCTCAGGCACGGGTTCCCCGCCAGCTCGAGCCGCTCCAGCGCAGGGCTTGCCGCCGTCGCCTCCTCCAACGTGCGCCTGCCCGGGCCTCCAATCAGGTTGAAGCTGAGGTCGAGCGCAGTGAGCGCTCGGTTCGGCGCGCCATTGTCCTCCTTGTCGCCTGCCTCGCCACCACTCTTCCCCGCCTCGTTGGTGGTGCTCTCCGGTGCCAGTGCCTCCAAAACGGCTCGCGCGCTGGCATCCGAGAGGCGGTTCGATGCCAGGCCGAGGAAGGTGAGGGTCGAATTGTGGCGCAAGCTCCGCAGGAGGGGCACCGCACCCTCGTCGCCGAGCCCGCACGAGAAGAGCGAGAGGCTGATGAGGCAAGGGTTTGTGGAGAGGGACGCCTCAATGGCAAGCGCCTCCTGCGTTGCGACGGCACAGCACCTTAGCGACGCAGTCGTGAGCTTTGGTAGCTTCAGGAGCGGCGAGAGGGCGACGCCATCGTCCTCTGCACCGATGGAAATCGACGTGACCGATTCCGGCAAGGCTTGGGAGAGCAGATTGATGCCGTCCGACGAAAGAGCGCACTGCCAAAAACGGAGCGCAAACAGTGACGCGTTGCTCGCCAGCGCTGCCAGCAGCGCAGACAGCGCGCCAGCGTCACAGATCTTGCCGCCGCGGATGTCGACGACGCCCGATTCCGCCGCCTGCAGCGCAGAGAGCACCGCCGGGTGCACAGACATGGTCAGGGCTTGGCACGCCGCCTCAAAATCCCCTGCCGCGCTGCCGCTCTTTGGGAGTTGAAGCCTCTCGCCCTGCAGGAGGCGCGCCGCGGCGCCAAAGGGGCCCAGTCCTTCTGTCGCGCCGTCCACCGCCGCGGCGACGCACGCCTCACCGCGCTGGGCGCTCCAGTGATCGGCCATATATCGGCGCCGATACGTAACGTTCTTCGCGGCGAGTCGGCGAGAGGTGGACTGCGGCTAGTTCCATTTCACTGTGGCACAGCTCGCGTTACAAAACCTTGATTTTGACCATTTGCGCACTATTGTACCTCTCGGTGCCTTCCAGAGGCAGCTGCGACCCCGCCGAGTAGACGGGCGCACACAGCAGGTGGCGCGGTGTGCGCCCGTCCACTCGGCTGGATCGCAGCTGCCTCTGCGCGTCCTGGGGAGGTACATTTGTTGCGCACCGGAGACGACTCGACGCCGCTGAGATCGGAGATCAAGCTCTGACAGGTCACACGTCGCTCCTTTGACGCCGACGTGACTCGCCCGTACAGATCACATCAGGACACGGTCTCGACGCGCTCGGTACGACGCCTGCGACCCGTCTCGGGTCAGGTGGCACGACGCTCATCGCGCCTGCCAGCGCTGCCGTACAGGTTGCCACGACGAGGTCGAGCACGCTTCTATACGCTCGCCCAGCCTTCCTTTCCATCCCATTAGGCAGCCTGGGAACGGTGATGGTCAGAGGCAAAGCCTACGAGGGGTGGTGGAACCACATGTCACGGCTACTGACGGCTCGACCCCACGATAGCCTCCGAAGGCTGACTTTGCGGCACCATCATCGGACGATGTCGACGAGTTGGGTCGCTCTCGCGGTAGCCAGATGACCTCCCATGCTAGTACCATCGGCTAGGGTCGCAGGAAGCGCGGGGGAGGGCGCTGGGAGCAACACGGAGCTCCGTTGGACGTTTTCAAGATTAGCGTGTCAGAGTGAAATGGAACTAGCCTGCCGCCTGACGGGGTTTTTCTTTCTCCTTCGATGAAGCTAGGAGTCGGGAAACTGTTGAGCACTTGAGCACTGGATAGGGTCGATTCCGCATGGTACGGGACCCCTCGATCGTCTCGCCCTCCCTCGCTGGCGCTCATTGCACATGATCGAGGTGCACGCTGCTGAAGCAGTATATGCTACGTCTATATCGGAAACTGTTCGCAAAACAGCCAAACAACAAACAACCCCCGCACGCGCGGAATAGGGCGCAATCGTTTGTCACGTGGGTACAGGCTCTATACTCTGCTTGCTGCGTGCGTGCGTCGTGCGTGCGTGTGTGGCCCCGCTCCAGCCAGCCAGCGCTCGCGGACCGATCTCTGTCTGTCTACGCGCGGGCGGGGGGTGGGGACGCAACCGGCTCTGCCTCGCCGGCTGCCCACTCACCGTGCGCCTAGCCGGAGCGCGCGTGCCGACTGACTGCCGTCTTGTGGGCTGGAGCATGCTCATGCAGCGAGGCCCAACGCCAGAATGTGCGGCCCGCGTGCTCGCCTCGCGCCGGCTCACTCGGACGCGGGCGTGGTGTCGGTCTTCCACTCGGCGCAGAGCTTGAGCTGGACGAGGGGAATGGTGCACGGGTGGATGTCGACGTCCAAGAACGCCGAGTCTTTGACAAAGGGGATACCTGCTCACACGTCTGGCCGTGGTGAGAGACGCCGTTCACAGAGGAGCCGCCGGGCCCTCTTGCCAAAGGGCTTGCCGCATTCGATGTGGCCGATGCACTTTTTGAGGCCGCTGTAGATGCCCGCGAGGAGCCCTGCGACGCCGAGCAGGCTGCCGCCCACGAGGAGGCCCGCCTGTGCCCACACACGCAGCCTGTGACGAGGCGCTGTTCACGGCATGAGGCACGCCACCCACGAGCAGGCCCGCCCCGAGCAGGATGTTGTTGACGAGCTCGAGGACGTCGCCGATGATGTGGCCGACCTGCCGGTGTGTGTGTGAGGGGTGGGGTCGCGCGCGGTGTTTGTGCGGAACATGTCGCGGGCGGGTGTGGAGCGCCGCGCAGCGTGTGGGACATCAAACGTGTGGCCATCGAACGTGCGGCGCATCGAAATGGGGCGCATCGGACGTGCTGGCAAACCGTGTCAGCCGTGCGCCGACGAGTGTCCGCATTCTGCGGCTAAGGGTGGGCATTGCGAGCGCGCGCACCAGCCCGCAGACGCTGCCGAGAAGGGCGGACACCACGTCTCGGGTCGAGCTCAGCGCCTGCGCGACCAAGCCGATGACGCCGCCTAGCGGGAGCGGCTTGCGCGCTCAGGCCAAGGAGAGTGTGTCGCGCCTCTCCACACACGTCCGCCGTCTCGCGTACCGAGCAGCTCCTTGACCTTCACCTTGACGTTGGCGAGCTTGATGAGCTCGTCGCCGGCCGCCTAGACGTGAGAGCAGGCGATCGAGGACAAGAAGGCTGCGGACGGAGAGAGAGGCCGTCGCCGGCCGCCCGGAGGATCTCGACGACAAAATCGTTGATGTTGGTCAGGAGGTTCTTGGTGAAGCTGAGCACGCCCTCGAGCAGCGTCTTGAGGCCGAGCAAGAGGCCTAAGCAAGAAGCAAGAATGACGTGATCACTCATTCATCATAGGAGGCCGTCTTGGGGCCGAGGAGGAGGGCCCTTCAGCCCATCAACGCCACGCCAGGTCGACTCGTTGTACTTTGCGACAAACGCCTACGTACGGCGAAAGTTCCGAGGAGGTTCCGAGACGCCCCCCGGAGAGACACGGGTCCGCGGACGCTGCGGAAAGAGCCTCGGCGCTGCCCTCGACGAGATCGCCCGTCGTGAAACCGAGCGAAGAGAGGAAGGCCCGCACGGCCTCCAGCACGGCCACGGCGATGTCCTTGGCCACGTCGAGGAGCGCCGTGATGAAGAGCTCCAAGTCGCCGCCCTGCAGCTTGCCGCACGACAGCACCTTGGCGAGGAAGTCGAGCACCTATAGGGAAGGGAAGGGAAGAGCTGAGGAATATGCTTCTCCACACACACGGGGGTGTTGGACAAGGCAGGTGGCAGCCCTCGCGTCTCCACGTCTAAATGACAGGAGCCCACGGAATATTGAAAGTGCAGCCCGGTGCGCGTGGGAGAGCGGTGTGTGTGTGCGTGTGTGCGTGCGTGCGTGCGTGCGTGCGTGCGTGCCTGCGTTGCGTGCGTGCGTGTGTGC